TTAAAATTAAAAAATTTATGAAAATTAAAACCAAAAACTATACAAATCCGGCTTTAAAAACCACAAAACATAATTGCCAAATACGTGTAAACTACACCCTATGCTCACTGAGCTTAACTATAACTTTTATCTTAATCTCTTATCATTCAAATTTATAAATTTAGTCACTCAGCTTGGTTTTAAAGGACAACCGTTAGTCACTGGCCATTTACTCCCTATTTTCGTCAAGTTTTAAATTTTTCTAAATTTAGTATGGAATGTTATATTTATAGATTCTTCAGTTTAGTACTGAGTCCAAAAAGAATCAATTTTGATGGATGTTGAACTATTATTTTGCTGAAATAGGATATAACATTAAGGCTTTAATATAAATTAATTATAACTGTATAAATATATTATTCATAATTTGGCTAGGGCAAACTACATAATTTTGCTTGACTTGAAAATTATGGCAAACATGTTTGGTTTTAATATATACAAGCACTTAATTCTCTTTTGCTAAGAAAGAAAAAGATAAATTAATTTATTCTCCTAAAACAAAAATTAATTATTTTAAAGCATGTTCAAAAAAAATTAATTATTTTAAAGGAATTAGTTGACTTTCTTTAATTATACTTAGCATGGTTGAAAAAATTAATGAAATCCATGTGCATGTCCTGCTACTGCTAGCTGACCTAAGATTTATAGGACATTTACTCATAACCATAAAGTGATACCTCCATACAAAAAATAAATAGAACCTTCGGTCATCTAACTTTTTTTGAGTAATGATACAGAGAAAATGAAAATTTGGGATAAAAATTTAAAATTAATAATGTAGTGTAGGTTATATTATTAAATTAATTAATGCATGTAATATTATGAGTTTTTTAAAAAATAAAAAGACTTGATTATTAAATAATAATATTTTAAATGACATGACTTATGTCATATTATTAATCTTAAATTTTGATCCCATTTACTTTTAATGATGAAATTATAGTTCTAATGTTGATTAATCTTGAGTTACATACAACCTATCATCAGAAACACCATAACTATTGAAATCGAAACAAAAATTATGAAATTAAGATTTTAATCTTGATTAAATAGTTACAAGATTATAAAGTTAACTAAATGTATGAAACTTAATATATTGATTTTATAAGTTGTATTTTAACTTATATTAGGGCTCATTTCACTAAATTTTGTTATTAGGGGATTTGATTCAGGACTTAATTGTAAAGCATTTAAAGTTTATTAGTTAAAAATTAATTCTTTTGGATCATATGGGATTTACATTGTGCCACATTATAAAAGAACTTAACGGAATAAAGGAGTTAACGGGTTAGTAACCAACGATTTCATTTTAAAACTCAGTTTTAGTGACTATATTTATAAATTTAAAAACAATTTATTAAAATAAAAGTTATATTTAAGTTTAGTGAATTCCGGCGTAGAAACCATCCTTGTTTCCTCAATTGGTTAGAGGTTTTGTCAGGAGTCACGATCTGTTCTTGTTCTTGTTCTTCACCAAAAGCAACTTTACATTAATTCCTTGTCGGTCGGTAGCGCCCCTCTCCAAGTTGGCTGCACATCGATGGTCATCCTATCGGTCAGCACCACCTGTCGGGAAGTAGTAACTTCAAAGGATGATTTAATATTAGAGTTGTTTATATTTTTAGTTATAATTTTTAAAATTAATATTTACTCTTTATGTATTAAAAAAGTAATTTTAATGGAACTTTCATTTGATTATTTTAATTAAGATTTTTTTAATATTTTTGGCACAAATTAAGAGTATAATTATTTACACCCATTTTTAAAAATTAATTAAAAGCAAACATGTGTCCCATTTGTTCTAAAGAGTCAAAACGTACTGCTAGCAATTGTCATATGATGATCTCATTAATTGAGTCAAATTTAATGATCGATTTTTCTCTAGAATCAACATGAATGTTTGTTGTCACATTATCGACAAAGTAACTCAATGGTTGAAAACTTCGAGGAGCATGATTGGCAGTACCAATGAGTTAGTCAGTTTGTTGCAAATTTCACACTACCATTGATTTACAAGATGTTGCTAGTAGAACTCCATCATGCTATCAAGGTGCTACAAATATCCAACAATGAGATCAAGTAAGCCAAACCTACCTTTCACACAATTAGCCTAGCATTATCTATATATATGTCAATTTTCATAAGTAATATTTTAGTTTAGATCTAACTTTCTCAAATAGTTTTCCTAGTTTTGTTCTTAGTTTTGCCACTAGGTTTAATTATAGTTTTTCTTATTTTGTTTTGAACATCTACATTGATGTATTTGATTTCTTGCAATTCAATTAACTGCATTTTACTCTAAATTCATCTTCCTCACTTATTTTAAGTTTAGTTTTATGGTTTTACCTTTATTTAATTCTTTACATTTATATGCAATTGTAATGGCATCACGATTTCTTCTTGCAATTTAGTCTTCCTACGATGCACTCTCTTTCTTCTCTTTTCCTTTATTTTTCTCTTTTATTTTGATTAGCAAACTAACATTTTAGCCTTATTTGTGGGAAGTCCTGATGTTCTTCCAGGGTTATTATTTATAAACCTTTATGTAGAAATGCACCATCATTTCTACGAAAATCGTCTAACAAGGTGCATCTCATAATTTATTTAACTAGCACTCTTTTATCAACATGCAACCGAGTTCCACCATTGGAAATAGTGAGGATCATCAAAATCCTTCTTTCTCACTTTAAGTAAAGTGAGTAACATGCCTTTGTAGTCATGTCTGTGACGTGACTAGAAAGAAATTTTGGAGACAACAATCTCTTTTTGGTGCGCTCAGTAGGACCCACCTTGGGTTTTCATGACTTTGATGATCATATCTTTTGCTACTAAATTATGCCATTGTGCCAGGTCTTTATTCTGATGACCACCAAAAGCTCTTCATGACTCCACCACATACTTCCTTGTATGTGAATTCACTTTATGATGAAAGGGTAACAACAAGCAGTGAGTTCCAAATCACTCACTGAAATAATAGTTAATGCTAATGAGAAACCTGAAAGGTTTCATGAGGAACACAGGAGGTGGTTGGAGGAAAATTGAAAAAGATGTGAATAAGAGGTTTGGAAAATTGAAGAAAGATATTACCACTAAGACCCTCCAACCCAAAGTGAGGTCTTAATGGAGGATTCAAAGAATCGCCATGTAGCCATGTCTCTAAGAACTTTAAAGTAGTTTTGCAAATCGCAAAACATGAGAAAAGTGCCACTTGTTGCAATGAATAAAGGTCAGACGACACTAAGGTTAAAGAGTAACCCCATGATCACTCTCAAGGGGCATGAATCACAATTGTAACATATTGCCCAAAGTTAGCAACATCATGCAACCTTGGAGGTGTCTTCAGTAAGTATGCCTCCAAGGCATTTTAGGTCTACAAAGACTAATATTAGTAGTCTATCACCTCTTAGGAGGCATAAACTAGATCAAATACAGACATGTCACCCATCCGTTAATTAAGGTGCATTTGATGGCCGACTACAAGCTAATGCTGCCACACAAAAGGCATCACTTTGGTTAGCATTAGTGCATAAATTTGACAAGATAGCCACCTCATCTATTTCTTCTTCTTTTAAAACTAATGAGCCTTTTCCATATGCCATGCTTAGGAAGTGGCAACAGTTTTCATGTCTCTTTAATGGTTAAAGCTTTCATGTCTCTTTAATGGTTAAAGCCTTTCAAGGTTCAACTATGGATAATGGTTAAAGGTGAAATATTCCTTTAAATTCGTTAGTTTGAGGAGGAGAGTTTCTTTCAGTCATGAAGGGCAACCAAGTCAAAATGAACAACAGAGGCTACAAGACTTTGTTGTTGATGGGGATTCCCAAATTACAAAGAAAGAGACAACAGGGTGTAGGTTGTTGCAACCAATAGCCAATTCAAGTATCTAATTAGTATTGCCACAACAAAAGGATGTCTGCAAGCCTATTCCACCTCAGCAACTTGCAGACTCATTGCTAGATGTCTCATCTCTGGTGGCATATAGATCTCTATACCAATAAGCAGTTTGCTCAATATGTTGTAGGCCATATTTGAGGATTTATAATAGAAATGATTCTTTCCAAAGTGGCTTTCACAAAAAATTTCCTAGATTTCCCTTGTAAACATAGGGATAACTTGGGAGGCAACATGAGAAACACCATGCCTTCGCATCTGCCAACTCAAAAGAGGAGAAGTAGACTTAAAGACCTTTATTGGATATTGAAAAAGGAACTTTAACACCAAACCCATGTCTTTGAATGGAGGCACGAGGGGCATGATCAAGCATTCATACATGAAGGCATAGGCAGATGCTATCTTTATAAACAAAGTCAATTTAGACATGCTTGCCATTTAAGCCTAATGGCCTACTCAAAGTTCCCTACCCAAAATCCTAAAACTCTTCGAATGCAACTTCAAAAGAAATGTGCTAAAGAGCACTAGAGGCATGTTGTTGCCAAGGCGCATATTTCTCAAAGGCAGCAACCTCAAATGAGGCAAAGGTTTATTTAGGTAAAGAAGAGGAAACACAATGCAGCCTCTCAAGAGGCAAATCATAATTTAGTCAATGAACTTGTGTTTCTAAGGACATTTGCCAAACATGTTTCTCTCAAGTCGAATGACTCAAAGGCAACTAAGGAGCTTAACATTGACAACAAAACAATTAGCCTTGGTAAGTAAACTATTGAAATTCCAAGTTCCATTCCAAATCTCCCTTTTGTTTTCACAAGGAAGCAAGATGTAGCCTCTAGTAGCAAAGAAACAGCAAAGAGACAGCAAAGAACAAAGCAAACATGTCTACCAAAGAAAAAAAAGGAAGAATCATAAAAAGGCCATCACAACCTTTGTTCATATTAGAAAAGGCATGTTGCCATCACCTGGAGGCATGCTGCCTATGAGACATTCTACCAACAATGTGAAACCTTTCCAAACGCATAAGGTATTAGATGAAGGCATATATTGGTTAAAGAATCTTGATGGCAGTTTGTAACTCATTAAAATAAATGGCTTGCCTTTTTAGCCATGTTGCCCTTCAATTTGCAAATCATGCAATAAATCTTAGTGGAAACAATAATCTCTTTGCCTAGGTCAAGTTTGGATCGAGATCACTTTTAATTTAGTTTTCATTTTTAATTTTCTATAATTAGTGTGAATAATCTTGCAGTTAGAGCAGCCTTGAAGAAGGCTATGAGATAGCGCTGTTCTTAAGATATTATGCTTTTTGTGGAGGCATGCTTGATTTATGTCTCCATGTCAACCAATAGAAGGAATTCATGGAATTGTTCTTTTTGGTGGCTATATTGTTCCATTTTTGCAAGCAAACTTTTAGCTAGCTTATTTCTCTATAAAGCCACTGTGTCTACCAAATGATATTCAATGCAATGTTGAAGAAAAGAATAATCTCAAATTTCTACATTCTTGGAGACATTTGGCTGCTTTTACAAAGGCCATGTGGTGAATGAGCTATTAAGAACAAAATTTATCAAAAACTTGATTCCACTTCCATGAAGTTGTGCAACCAAGTTTTGGGGGCATTTTTTACACCCATTTTTGCAAATTAATTAAAAGGAGCCATGTGTCCCATTTGTTTTGAATTTGAAAGAGTCAAAATACACTGCTAGTAACAGGCATGTGGCGATCTCATTAACTGAGTCAAGGTGCTATAAATACTTGATGATGAGATCAAGCAAGTCGGATATGCCTTTTGCACAACTAGCCTAGCGTTATCTGCATTTTAATTTTCATAAACAATGCCTTAGTTTATATCTAGCTATTTCAAATAGCCTTCTTAGTCCTTAACTTTACGTTGCCGCTAGTTTTAGCTCTAGTTTTTGTTATTTTGTTTTGTACATCTCTATTGATGTATTTAATTTCTTGTAATTCAATTTATCGCACTTTGCTTTGAGTTCATCATTTTAGCTTCCTTTAAGTTTAGTTTTATACTTCAGCCTTTATTTTGTTCTTTACTTCATGCTTGCGTGGTGTCATCACACTTCCTCTCTACAATTTAGTTTTTCTACCATGCACTCTCTTTCTTCTCTTTTCCTCCTTTTTCTTTTTTATTTTTATCAGCAAGCTAACATTCTGACCTAAATTGTGGAAAGTCCTTGATGTTATTTCAGGGCAATTATTCATGGACCTTTATGTAGGAACACACCACCGTTTTTACAATAATCGTCTGATCATCTCATAATTTATTTAACCAATGCTCTTCCATCGACTTGCAACCGAGTTCCACACTTACAAGTAGTGAGGGCCAACAAAAATCCATCTTTCTCATTTTAAGCAAAGTGAGTGATATGCCTTCGTAATTTTATCTACCACGTAGCCAGAAAGAGAAATTTTGGAGACAACAATAATAAATATATTTTATCATAATTAAATTTATATTAAAAAAATAAATATTGATATTTAATTTATTAATCATCTAATTAAATTTATTCATGTGATAATGATATTAAAATTAATATCAGTTTTTATATTTTTCTAAATAATTAATGTAAAAATATATCTCTAATATGTGCCTAAAGGTATATGTGAGAAAAACTCTTTTAATTAATATATTTGATAATTAAATTCAAAAAGATTTTTAATGATAAAAAAAAAAGGGAAAAAGGTTTTTATTTCCAGTTGAATTCTACATTTGGCCGCACACATATAGAGTTGAATATATTCATAATTTGATGATTAACTGACAAATTGGACATCAAACCCCTTCTAACACGATCCCTAACTAATTTTAAAGGACAAACATAGCTACGTAACTGAAACTTTTTACATTTGATAGGAAATTTTGAGTTGTCCTACTTTTTGAGCCCTTCTTGAGTCTTCTCTCACAACAATTTAAATACACCAAGAATCTCTACGGACAAAGTAAGAACCTACTTTTTGAATCCGAGAAACCATGTCGTTTTCGCTGCGGAAGTCCACATTATTAGTCATTCCATAACCAGGACATGGACTCGTCTTTTTCGTCGTCCCAACGTTCACCCCCATGGATGATGCTTCCCCAGTCCCAGTCAAGCTGAAAATCGTCCACAAATGGCGTTAACGTTGTCGAAGAACATAACTCACTAGAGTTCGAGTTTAAGTTTTCGCAGTCTAGTCTGTCACTAGAAATTCCCATATTGTTCATTATCTCTTGATTATCACCGATATAAACTCCGGCTGCCGTGGTTTCTTGCTCCTCTGTATTTAATGTCCAGACCCTATTTGGATCCACTAATTTATTGTCCATAATGTCCTTAAAACACAGCATCTCACTTTCGTATGGTCCTAAAATTTCAGTCTCTTTCTCGACAGTGCATAACATTAAATTCTCTGTTTCTCCCTTTTCTTCAAAAGTGCTTGGCAAAACAACCATGCTATCTTCCATCATTGTGGTCAACAAAACCTCCTTCTCTAATTCTGGTGTGGATGGCAGCGGTACAGCTTCATTGACAGCGACCTTTACCTCAGAATTCTTTGTTGAAACAACAGTAGCTTCTTTTTGTGCATTGTTGCTTCTTCTGTTTTTCTCCATTGTCCATCTGCTCGTTCGACCTTTCTGCTTGAAAACACTGACATCTTTAGGTATCTCCACTACCGCCGGCGTGTTTCCACCGCCGGTTCCTGGTCTCCGGAAGATGTGGACTTTCCTACTTAAATGAGAGTTCCAATAGTTCTTTATCTCGTTATCTGTTCTCCCAGGTAAATAGCTTGCTATCAAAGACCACCTGCAGTGAAAATTAATTCTCAATTTTTTAATTATTAGAATTTTTAATTAACCAAAAAAAAAAAAAAAAAGATGAGAAAAGAGAATAACACTACCTCCGATTTGAGTACCTCCCCTCCCCTACTCTACTATTATTTAGATGAATTTCTTATCCATTCCAGATTTGTTTACTACCTGGATAAAGGAAATTTTACCCTTTTTTTTTAAATCAAATATATTTTAAAGACATATCTTGTTAGAAAAAATTAACAAGGCTGTTTCTTTTATTCTTTTCTTTGAAAACTTGGTTACTGATAAAAAATGGAAAAAGGTGAGAAAACCAGCAATAGCTTTCTTTTTTCTTTTTTTTTTGAAACAAGATTATAAATTAAGGATGAAAAAATTCAAATCCTAACGCTCAAATTAAAAAACACACCTTACGACTCAATCTATAATTATTGAGTGGTGAGGCAAAGTGCCAGCAACTGCTTTCTTTTGCAGTTGAATGACCGAGTGATTTTATTTCCCAACCAAATGATTATAAAAGGAAAGGAAAATGACTTGCCCTCAAATGAAACCAAAAGAAAACTTTTGACATAATATGTCGACAAAGTAACTATTACTTGGACATGCATGATGGTGATATAATTAATTTGCTGAGTTGTGTGGCACTAAAAGATAAAAAGAAATTCTCTCAATTATGATATTTTTTTTAGCATAAATTGTCATAATAAATGGTATCATAAATATTATTTTAATATAAATTCTCATGACAAAAGGCTTTGCAAAAGTCAATTGTTTTTAGTGTGCATTCACATTTTCTAATTTCCTTTTATGAATTGAAAGAAATTTTTTTTTTCAATCATAATATGTGATTCATATAATTACTATATAAATTTTTTATTCACATCATCAGAGTTTGAACTCTTTTGTCCCTATTTTCCCTTACTTTTACCACCAATATCCTTTGTAAAAAAAAAAAATTGAAAGAAACTTTTTTTTTTCTGCACTGTATTTTTACATTATAAAAAAAAAAAAAAAAAA